TGTATCATGATTTGATTTCCACTGGGCAAGAGGAAAGGACCTTAGAAAAGGCATATAGGTTAATAGCCAATAGAACCTGATTCCATGGATTTTTTTTTTTCTCCAGAGAGGGGGTCAGGTGTAACTCAAATTTCTCCATCTGTGGCAGCTTCAGTAGGTACCAGGCAAAGCCCCACATTTTGGCAGCCTCATTCCACCCTGCAGATAGACATGAACTCATTGGCAGCTACACAACAAGGAGGAGAAAGGCTTCAAAACTCTTTTAGAGCTATTTAGTGAGGAGAGTAACTGATAATGACGAGGGCACCTTATTTCCATCTTACAGATGCACAGGAGTCCAGTTCTTTAGCTGCACTGGGCCCTGCCCCATTCAATCAGCCTTCAGCTCTCAGCAGCTTGTTGAAAGACTTGCTAGGCTCTGCTTCTTGGCTCCTTGGTAGGCAGTTTCATAGAACACTTTGGTTGCAAATGTCAAGACAGAATTCTGAGACTTGGAATTAAGGTTCGCTCAAAGTCCCTTAGCTTCTGTGGCCTGATGCTTTTATTTAATTTGCTCATTCTTAAAGTTTTTTGTTTTTTTTCTCTAGAGTATGTTTACTTGTAGTGACAGAACCAAGGGCAATTATGAACCAGACATGTTGTTGCTTCTTTAGTTGTATTTTATGGTTCTTGTTTTACTGGGTTCTAGATCTCCTATGATTTAAGTGACTCACGGCCTCTCATGTCTTTGCCTACCTGGATTGTTTCCTCTTTAGGTAAACGTAAGGGTCTTACAGACTCATGTTAAGGAAGGTTAATGTTTTTGGCTACAGAGATTCTGAAGTGCGAAGTAGTGACCTGGGCAGCATAGTCAAGTTAATGAGGCTCATGAGTGTGCAGTGTTGTCCGTGGTCACTGGTCTGAATACCTCCCTCCTACCCCCCACTCTTAACTTTAGCTGCTGGAAAGTCAGTCAGGAGAGCCAGTGTAAATCTGTTTTATTTCAAGGGTGTAACCAGATATTCTGCTTGATCAGGGAACATTTTTGGGAACCATGCAGAGTAGGAAGGTCCCTAGAATGTCAGAATGCATGCAGTTGTTGGGCCCTGTGGTGTAGTTCTAGATGTATCGCTGCATGATGAACAGAACTGGGGGCATTTGCTCCAATCAAATTCGACCTTTTTTGGGTAGGGATGCACAAATGGAATGTGAGTGAGCTAAAAGAGTAAAATAGAAAAACACACACATTAATTCAGCAAATATTTATTAAATGCCTATTTGGTGCAGATGTTGGAAATACAGTAATGAGCAAAGCACAGCCCCTGATCTCTAGGGCATATATTAATTATATTGAGGGAAGAGGGAAAACAAATGAACAGATATGTTTCTGTAGTGATAAGAAATAAAGGAAAAAAGGAAGGAAGGAATAAAGGAAGGAAGGAAGGAAGGAAAGAAGGAAGGGAGGAAGGAAAGAAGAAAGGACAGACCAAAGAACAAAATTATAAAAGAACCAAAGAAAAGCAAGCAAGCAGAAGAGGGGAGCTAAGGAATGCTGGGGCCTCTTTTAGAGAAGTGTCATGAGGAAAGGCCTTTCTGACAAGAGGACCTTTGAGTAGAGAGCTGAGGAAAGGTGGGGAGGAGGAGGCCCTGTGGATGTCAGCTGGAGAAAGACCTCAGCAGAGGTACCGGGAGGATGGAGTCTACTCCTCCCTGCACGCTTCCCTGAAAGGCACGACTTGCTGATTCTGATTTATAAGCTGAATATTATTATTTTTACCATAGGTTTTTGAAGTAGTTACTATTAAATGAGAATTATGCATATAATGTCCGTTATTATAGCAGTTGTTGTTATTAAGCATCAAGTTCATCATATTTCTACTGCAGGAATTCTGGTTTTTGTCAGAAAGCCACAGAAAAGACTCCAACCCACCAAACTCATTATTGCTCCTAAGGTATTTATAGGCATATAACACTATTCCTTAGGGGATGGGAATGCTACATAAATGTAGAATTGTTTTACTGCTCCTGCAATTCAGATCGCTAGAGTGTTCTTCTGAAATAAAAGCCGGTTTGCTTGGGGATAGATTCAAATCAATGATATAACTTGAAATGTTGCCAGCAACCCCATTCTCTCACAGCATATGATGTGGTGGAGGGAAATGTAGGTATAGGAGGAGGCAGAGGAATGCACTGGCTTTGAATTAGCCAAATCTGGAAGCAAGCCAGGATCCATCAAGAAATCATGTCGTTAATCTGTGTTGTCAGTCACTGTCTACCAGTCCAGAGCTCCGGGTCAAGGTCTTCAGGTTTGGCATGCTGGAATAAGCAGGAGTGAAGCAGACAAGGTTAAGACTGTGCTAAATTAATAAGAGGATGCCTTAATATTTTGAAACCAAAGTTATTTTGGAATCCTGGAAAATATTCATGTCAAGGATCAACTCTTCAAAGCAGATTACTTCTAGTTATGTCTGATTTTCACAGGGTCCCTTGTAATACCCCATTGTAAGCTGAATTTTATAAAATTTGAGGATTCCTTTAGGTTAAAAGGATATTGTTTAGGAAGTTTTGTGTGTATATTTAAATATGCGTATGTTGCCCTAACTGGTTTGGCTCAGTGGATAGAGCGTGGGCCTGCGGACTGAAAGGTCCCAGGTTCGATTCCGGTCAAGGGCATGTACCTTGGTTGTGGACACATCCCCAGTAGGAGGTGTGCAGGAGGCAGCTGATCGATATTTCTCTCTCATCGATGTTTTTAACTCTCTATCCCTTTCCCTTCCTCTCTGTAAAAAAATAAATAAAATATTAAAAAATAAATATGTATATGTATGAATGCATAAATATGTATTTTTCCCCAGCTACTTCTATGAGAGTTTGAAATACTAGTAATTTTACAGAAAGAACCAGAAACATCAGAAATCAAATGAGAGATAATTTACCAAAAACCACAACTGATATATAGGGTGTCCCCCCCAAAAATTTAGACACTCTTTGAATGATTACAAAGTCAGTGTTTACTAACATACAGTTCATTTTCAAAATTTAAAAATAATCTAAAGAAATGAATAATTTTTTTTTGAATGCCTGTTTTTAAACTGATGACTGTTCTGGTCCAGGCACTGCTGGTAACACAAAGCAATGGAATCACAAACATCAAGAGTCATTTGGTTTGGTATTTGTGTGCCCTCAATTCATCAACTGTTGCACATTTTATACTGTAAATTTTATCTTTTATGGGCCCCCGTAAAAAGGTCTAGTGGGTACATTTTTCTTTGGTCAAAGCTCAGTTTGGCTTCACCCATTATTTCAAATCAGTTAAACCTGAAAAGGAGTGAAAACTGAGTTATCACCCTGTGTCTCCCCAAAATGTATACGCACTTTGAATAATTATAAAGGTGGTGTTTGTACTTCAACTGCATTTTCAGACGTCCAATAGCATTTTAGGATGAATTTCCTTTGTTCAAAGCTTAGTCTGGCTGAAAAGAAACATCACTTGAGCTATCAGCTGTTAAAGAGTATATACATGTTTTCATTATACCCTGTGTTATTTTTAGGGGAACCCTTGGTTCTCCCTGCCATCGCCCACCACCGCCCCTCCCACTGCCCAGCCTGGGTGAGATACTCGTCTTCTGGGTGCTCAGATTCCCTATGTATCTCAGTCACAGTAATGGCCACTTGTAAATTCCAAGTCTGCCCAGGGCTTTCTGGAAAGCTGACTCTGTGTCTGAGCTCAGAATCACCAGCACTTTGCATGGTGCCTGACATGTAATAGGGGCTCCATCTGTGTTTATTAAATACATGAATGAATGAATGAATGAATGAATGAATGAGTTTAAGATTTACATCTGGTTCTGAACTTCCTGTTAACCAAGCAAGAAGAAAAATACATTGATCACACTGTTTTCCAATGCATATAAGATTAAACAGTATTATTTCAGATCCATGTTTTTCTTGGTGTTAAGTTCTTGAAAGCATCTGATGAAACATAATATCAAGACTGAGTTTTAAGAAAGGTTATTTGCAATACTTCATGAACTACTCTTACCTGGACTAAACGAAAGAATGTGCTTTTCATAGCATCTTGCACTGGAGGCACCCTCAGCTCCTGGAGGGTCTGGGTCTTTGTCAGCATCTTAGCGGGTTCTTTGCTAGAACTTCACCTTCCCAGGTGGCAATGGGCCCACAAGACAGCACATTTGTGCCACTGGATTTTATTTTCATGATTGCAAGTAATAGATATTGTACTGAGAGATTTTATTGTGCTTGCAGGCGGAGGCATTAAGTGAAGAGTGTGAATTAATGGAAAACATCTAAAAGAAAACAATTTGTGAGGATGCTGCAGTCAGTTTACTAGTAGGATTCCAGCATGCCCTACTAGGTGTGGGTCCTCCACATTCTGCAGGAAAATTTGTCCTTGCTGACATATGAAGACTTTATGAAAAAAGAATTATTTGTGGAAACAAGTGTAGATTTAAGAATACAGGCAAGAATAAGCTAATGGATATCTGCTTAACTGAAAAGTCTTTTGAACCAGCTTCTTCTGTGAAGAGGGAACAGTGCTATGAAGTACAAAGATGTAGTTGTTGAAGGAAAGAAGATTCATTGTTTTTTTTTCTGTGTGTGTAAGAGCTGGGAGACAGAAGACAATGAAAAATCCCTTGATACACAGCAAGAATAATGATTGGTTTTTAAATGTGTTTAAATGACATTTTCTTTTAAGTTGGATAATCAAATAGTAGAGAAAGGCTTAACCATTAGTTGAGTGGTTACTCAAGCACCTAGAACCAAGCTCAGAATAGCAGATGCTCAATAAATATGTGTGTGTGTAAGACTGAAACAATCATTATAATTCTTTAAAGATGCCATGCTTAATTTAGTCGACTTTCTGTTCATTGATATTTAGATTGTTTTGAGTTTTCTTTCACAAACAATACCTATAGATGCTACAAATAAGTCCTTATGCATTCATCTTTGCACTTTATAGAGATATTTATATTATTTAATTATGATAGATTTCCGGAAATGGAATTGCTGGGACAAAGGAATACATGTGTTAGATTTTGATGCAACCGTTCTGTGGGTGCTTTGGCACATCTATCAATGACACTACCTCAAAAAGCAGGTAAGATGATCTGTTTCATTGCAACCTGGCTGACTCTGGAGTTATCAGGCTTTTCACTTTTTAGAGTATCATTAAATTCCAAAATTTGGAAGGCTTAGTGCTTTCTCCAGTTTCTATTATCCTGCTTAGAAGCAAGGACAATATAGTATATTCTTTTCTCCTGGGTTGAGAGAGTATGCGATATTATTCAATGAAATAGTTCTTTCTTAAACCCCAAGTTACGTTCTCTTTGCTGCACCCCTGTTTGTCATTGCTAACTAAGTACCGAGGGAAGAAAAACTAAGTCTAGAATTAGTTGTACATCATTGGCAAATGGGATCTTACCACTTGCCGGGAAACTGTGGCTGCCTTCCTAAACCACATTTACTGTGGGAATGACCTGCTGTGGGAACTTCCGCGTGGTCTCTTGTTCCAGGCTCAGCAGCCAGTGCGAGCATAACAGACTCCATAGTGCGTTCATGTTGGCTGTTAAGGATGCAGAGATGAAGCTACTGCCCTTGATCTTTGCCCCATAAGCAGGTGTGGATGGGGAAATCCATGTGTGACCAACAGATCTTTCTACCTCATAAATACCGTAAAGGTCATGGACTTGTTTCTGGCCTTTTGCGTGGGTTTTCAGCAGAGGATTTTAAAAACTCACGGAAGCGTGTGCTCAGCATTCTCCAAAACAATGTTTGCAGCAGCACTGTGCCTTCTGAAGAGTGTTCTCTTCTCTCTCCTTCACACATGGAAATTGTGCAAGCCAGTGTATTTCCCCTTTTGCTCTGGCTACCTGGAAGTGTAGAGGCAAATGTAAATCTTAAGAACTCATTCGTTCATGTATACAGTAAACACCCATGGAGCCCCTATTCCATGTCAAGCACTGTGAAAACTGATGATTTTGAGCTGGTGATTTTGAGCACAAAGACACAGTGTCAGCCTTCGGCAAAGCGGTTCGAGCTCCAGCTCTGGAAGGAATGGGTTCTGGCCCTTCGCTTTGGATACTTGCCCTGGAAGGGGGGAGCCTGGCCTTTCCCATGGAACATAACCCGTCTCCACTAAACTTATTAGCACTAGAAAGGACGCGGCTCATTTTCCTCTCAGGTGTAGACAAAGGCTGCTGTTGTCCCCGGGTGAAGGGCCTTCGGTGACTTGATTAGCAGACAGCCTGGCCTGCCCTGATTTTCAGATGGAGACCATCAGATATAATCTGCCGCCTCATTAGGTTGACACTGTTCCTGCCCCCTCTTGTAATAATGTCACTGGAGCACTTAATAATCGAAGGTAAATGTTGTAAGCATACTCTGCCAAGGTAACCCAGGGTCAGTGGTGACAGATGCTCGAAAAAGCAGTTGTTTCCTAATTCTCTGCTCTGTTTAAAATATAACAAGCAAAGAGGTATAGTAATTAGGCAGGTTTAAATATTAGAGGAGCAGAACTTTCCGCAATTGAACTATTTTTAATATCTGATTCGAACTTGCAGTATTTCAAAATTAAGAGGACAATAAAATATATTGGATGATTGCCATGGTCTTATAGGAGAGAGCTTAATTATTCTAGAGAAGAGAAGGTTAGAGTGGGGTCCTTAAGTGTTTGAAGATATGTAAGATGGACAGTATTTATGCACTCTTCCACCTTTCCAGTGAAAACAGGAGAAATATAAGTCATATTGATTCAGGAGGAGTTATGTTAGACTACATCTCATGGCACACATACATTAAATACTAAAATTCTGTGGCACACCAAAAATATTTTTTTGGCTGATCTGACAGAAAATAGTTATAATTTTCATCAGTCTACAAAAAAATTAGTAATTACCAACCCTTTTTGCTCCAGTGTGACTTTAAAAAAATCAGGTGTCTATACTTATATATAAGGATTTCTGGTACCAGAAATTAACCAATCAGATGCAAATTTATTAGGCAACATGATCAATAAGATGTAAATCTACTATAAGACCTATATATTTATTGTTCAAGCAGGCCCTTCACACCAGATGACTATTGTGTTGACTGTTGTCATTTCTTTATTTGACAATCTAAGAGAAAAGAGGTCAGTGCCCCTGACTAAATAGTCAGGTATTGCATGTTTTAAAAATTCTTGAAAATCGCTGGCTTAGATCAAATAACTTCTTTAAATGTATCCTTGCTTTTAGAACACTTCAGTAGCATTGGGTGTTTATTTCTCATACTGTCTGAAAATAAGGTTTTCCCTAACTTTTATGATTGAATGACCAAGAAAATAAATGCTGACTTTGAACCTATAATGAGTTAGCCTGGAGAATTTTGCCAAAATCATGGTACAAGTTCTTGCTCCATTCTTGAATCTGTTTCTCTTTTTGCCCTAGCTTTGATCATTGGTTAGGCGTAAAAGAAGAGAAAAAACTGCAGTTAAAAAAAATAACCTACAGTAGATGGGGTGTGGCCAAAACATAAAGGAAAACTATTGCTATTGATTTCCCATTTGCAAATTTTATTTAATTTATGTGACAAACATTTTTTAGTGCCTCCTGGGTGCTACCAGGTACTAGTGGATAGCATTAAACCTTGCCCTCATGGGGCTTACCTTTTAGTATAGGGAGCAAACAAATAAACAAGGAAAAACATGTCAGGTAGTGAAAAGTGATGAAAAAATAAAATAAACCAGTGTAAGAAGGAATTGAGGGGCTGGCAGGGTAGTATTATTTCAGATTACATGGTCAGGTGAGGGCTTTCTGAATAAGTGACATTGGGGCAGAGATCTGAGTGAATCCAGGGAGTAAGCCAAGTGACTGCTGGGTGGGGGCGTATAGAAAGGATGCCAGGGGGTGAGCAGAGGGGAGGGGGAGTTGGGGGAGTAGAAGCATCCTAGGAATCAAGAGTAGCACGTGGGAAGTTCCTGAGGCTGGGCCAAGCTGCGCTTGGTGTGTCCTTTGGGAATAGGATGGGGAGAGAGATCACAGAAGTGGCCAGGATTCATGGAGTTGGTTGCCTGAGAGGAAGCAGTCTTACATTTGTTTGCAGCGTTTCTGCCCTGCAGTTCTCTGAGCGAGAACCTTTCCGTGTCCCAGTCAGGTGCAGAGCCTCTTAAAAACCTTGTTGAACGTGTTTGCTGGTTTAATTGCACAGACATGTCAGCCCTGACAGTTCATCAATAAAGGGATTTAAAGGGAATGTGCAAAGGAATTTGGAATTTCTGCAGTTTATTAGCTTCTCACTAGGGACTTCATTTTATTTTTGATGCTGCATTTTAAATGAATAAGTAATTTTGCCTATTTATTATTTGAAGAGTAGTAATACATAAACAAGGTAAAATGCAGATATATTACAAAAATATATTTTTAAAAGTTAGTCTTCTCAGAAGCAAATACTGTTAGCAGATTCGTGATATGTTTCTAAAATGTAAAAACCTCTCCTCTCTTTATAAAAAAATAATGATTCTGCACCCTAGCCAGTTTGGCTCAGTGAATAGAGAGTGTTGACCTGTGGACTGAATGGTCGAGGGTTAGATTCTGGTTAAGGGGCTGCGTGCGGGAGGCAACCAATTGATATGTCTCTCTCACATTGATGTTTCTCTTTCTCTGTGTCTTCCCCTACCTTCCACTACCTCTAAAAACCAATGGAAAAATATCGTCAGGTGAGGAATAACAAAAATAATAATAATAATAATTCTGGCTATGCACATTGTTTCACATCTGGCAGATCTTGAGCTCTTCCATGTCAGTACATATGACATTGCGTCATTCTTGTTAATATTTGGTTATCTGAGAAGACCACAATTTAGTCATCCCACCCTGGTGGACATTAACAGTTTTGTATCTTTTGCTATAACAACCACTACTGCGATGGAAATCCTCGAACACTTTTCTTTTTGCACATTCATAAGTATATCTATAGGAAAAATTCTTAGTAATGGATTGGTGGGCAAAGGGGAAATATGTATTTTAAATTTTGGCAGATATTACCAAATTATATTAATTTACATTCCCATCCTGGCCAAGACTCTTCTTTCACATCCTAACAACTCCATGTTCCAGTTCTTTTGTGTTTGCAGTATAAGTAAAACATGATATGTCCTTGTAGTGTACTATGCATATCTCTTAGCGTGAAGTTGAATTCATAGATAAACAATATTCTACTTTGATCGAGGAATATTGTCTGTATGAGTGTGATTCTTCAAAATTTTTTGAGATTTCTTGGAAACTTGGGGCCCTGATAATTTTATACATGTTCCTGGAGCTTAAAAAGATGTGTTTTATTCACCGGGAGTAGGGTTTTATACGTCTGTAGTTTTGAATTACCGGTATATTTGAAAGTATTTCTGCTATTTATTTTGTATGCATTAAACACAACCTTTTTCTTTTGCTATTTTTAAAAATAATGTCTGCCTTCGGTTGGCTTAATCAGGTTTTCCCTTGTTCTTTCTTTTCCCCTACCTCCCCCGAAGCTGAGTTTGTTTCCTAGGGCTGCTGGAATAAAGCACCATCAACTGGGTGGCTCACAGCAATAGGAATTTATTGTCTCAGTTGTGGCAGCTAGAAGCCTGAAATCGAGGTATCAGCCAGGCTGTGCTCCCTCCCAAACCTGCAGGGAGTCCTTCCTTGCATCCCGGTTTCCGGTGGTTGCTGGCAGTCCTTGGTGCTCCTTGGTTTGCAGCTGCACCACTCCAGTCCCCGCCTTTGTGCTCACAGGATGTTCTCTGATCGGCCTCTGTGTGGTTCCTACTCTTAGCTTTATTATTCCCTTCCTCCTCCTGCTTTGGGTTTACATTACACTTCTTTTTCTAATACCTTGAGGTGGGAGCTTAGGTTATTTATTTGAGACATCTCTTCCTTTCTAATGTTGGCATTTATTGCTATACATTTCACTCAGGACTGCTTTATCTGGGTCCCACATATTTTGATATATTGTATTTTCACTTTCATTCAGTTAAACATAGTTTTAAATTTCTTTTAACGCCTTGTCTTTGACCCGTAGATTATTTAGAAGTGTGTTGTTTAGTTTCCAAGTGTTTGGACAATTTCCTGTTATCTTTCTGTTACT